GCTTTCTGTTATTATCTGAATGGTTGTTGAAAATGAACGAAATGCAGTTTTGTTGAAGATTGTTAAAAACTCCTATGTTGAAAGTCTTTGTAGAAAATGCATGTAGGGCTTTTGTTTTTGAATGACAAAAATGCATCGTCAAGTCACCTTCAAACTAACATATATCATAGCATATAGCACAAGCATTCTCCCAAATGATCGAGGATTGTCAGATGTGGTACTCATGGATCAATTGAGAGAATGCTTCTTTTGATATATGTCATAGAATGGTTGTCACACCATTTTAGATAGTTTAAATTATCAGAAAATACTAACTCCTTAGAATTTAAATTATCAGAAAATACTAACTCCTTAGAACCATTTTGATAAGAGGAGATAGTGGGGTCAAATGGTGAGAAATATGGCAAACAAGTTGAGGCTTGATAGGGATCTTTTTCGATAAAAAATCCAAGCTTCTTTGTTCAAAATGCGGTGTTCAAATGTTCAAGTGATTTTAACTGCATTTGCACTACAACATGAAATAATATGCTGTCCTGGATGATGTCACTTCATTCCTTCTATCAAAAATGCCTTGATAACTAACTACTAATAATAAAACTCAAAATTCAAGTATTTCAAGTTTCGGGCATGTGACTTGCCTTTTCTGAGAATGCTGTGACCAGAGCAATAGTTCATAATTATTGAACCAAAAGAAAGAAGTGCCTTCTGGAAATGGCCCTTTGAAAAAATTCTGATTATTAATAAATACAATTTTACCCTGAATTCTTGTTGTTTTTTTCTTCCAAATGTTTTAGACCATATCGTTAATAAAGCTTAAAGATAACGCTTCCAATATTTCATTACTTATTTTTTGAACATTATTTTCAAAATCATACTCCACCTTCATTAAAACTTATTGCAAAATTTAATTTTCTGTGCATAAATTTGTAAAAAATCTGCTCAAAATGCTGACTTCTTGTATTATTCCCTAAAAGGTATTTTAAGATTGCAACAAAGCAGTTAATACCAAATACATGGTAAAAAGTCCAAATATTTTTTCTAGAATGTATTTCTAATTTAGCTGTTGCTGAAAATCAACCACTGTAATGGCTGTTAAATGTGTTTAAATCATTTTCACAGTTGCAGTACTGTTAAAATGGTTTAGAGATATACAATCTTGTTTATACAAGTGTGTCAATTATATTATTGTTTTTCCAAGTCCTGACATGAAGATTGAAGATCAGGAAAATAATACTGAAATTCTATCACTCATGTGCTCTACTTTGAAGCACAATTCTCAGGCATTGAAAATTTTTTTGTTAAACCTGTGTCATATACAATAATCTTTTTTTCATTACATTATATTACCGCTATAGTGCCAGGTTTGAACTGTTTAGGAAATTTGTTTTCCAACAGATGTATTCAACATCCCATAAGTATTTTTTAATTTAAGATTTAGAAAGGTACCCAAAAGTAAAGTTTTATTAATCTTGTTTAAAATAGAAGTAATTCAGGCAGGAGATAAAGCTGTGGCATTTAAAAAAATAGTTTTTAAATAATAAATGTTAGTTGCCAAAATCAGTCTTGAAAGGAATCTTAAAAAATAAGGATTCAATTAGAAAATACTGTAGTGACTCAAGCTGTCTAATTCTCTGAATGAAAAATTTAAAATTTTGGAATTTGCTTTTATTTAGTGGCCTTTGGATGTCAGAGCAGCTGTATACTATGGTGAGGAACATAACAAGAAGAAACCGAGTGTGCTTCTAGTTTGTAACAACTTTGGGGCAAGAACCTTTCATCTCTGATTATATGCTGTTTCTTTAAACTATGCTGCATCAAAAACATGAAAAGTTTCAATACTCTTATACCAGTAGCAAAAGGGCATACTTGCTTTTTATGTTTTTACCATCTTTTTAAGTAAATTTGATGACAACTAAAAAAATTGGTTATACATCATGTCACATCCGTGTGATCTCCATCATCGATATGCAAACACACACACACTGGGAAAGTTTAGTTTGAAAAGTTTTTCTGCTTTCAAAAGAAGAAAAAACATCAAATTTTGACCTTGGATGCCATGTGTGATTTTACCTTAAAGTAATAACTCAATTCTCACTTATTCCAAGAAAGCAGATTTCTGTAGTTCAGATGATAGAATCATGTCATAAGATAGTGAAACTGATATAGATTTTAACTTTGATAAAGAAGAATGGAATGATGTGGTTAATCACTTTTCAAAATCTCATAAATTGGTATGAACGTCTACTGATAGCTGAATTAGGGCATATTTAATCTGTGTGTGATAAAATATTACTGAAGTACTTGATATAAATGGAACTGATACTCAAACGTCCCATTAAAAATATGCTTTAGAAGTTTAAAAAACATTTAGATTTGATATTCAGAATGCTCATTTAACATGACATGTAGTCAGTTTTTTGGCTCACCCACTAAACTAGACAAACTGGTTGTAATAACTTCAGGGCATTGTATAATAGAATATGTATGTTTAATTAATATGAATGTAATATGCATAGTTTTACTACTTAACACATATTACAGCCATCATATTAATAAAACTGTCTTATGCATGGGAATATAATATGTTTCAAAATTATAAGGATCTCTTACTTTAAATATCATGCTCTCATATATCAACCAAATCCATCAAAGTCATGCAAAAGGGCAGGTGACTGTAATTTAATGTAACAAAATTACAGTAATTGTAAATTGTCACTCCAAAATTATTTTATTGTATGATCTAAAAGTTCAAAACTTTTTGACTCATGAAACCCTTTTTAGAATGCAGTTCCTCAAATGCAGGGGTTCTCAACTAGGGGAAAGGGGATGTAACACATTGGCCTATAAGATATGGCCTATATGGCTCTTCTAAATCAGCATCTGAGTCCTCATACAACAAATTGTTCCTTTGTACCATCCAGTGTTTCCATGTTCTTTTGCTATGTTATAGCAATGCCGACGTTGTTTTTGAGCCATAACTTGCCAAGAAATTAAAGAAAACTGAATAGTAGAAATGTCACATAATTAAAAGTTGTTCACAAGAATTGTAAAGTTTAAACGAACCCATCTATGATCGACAATGACAGCGCATGTACATTCACTGAACTCTTCGTAGCTGTAATATGCCCACACTCCGCAAGGAAACAAGAAAAAAATTGCATAAATCTGAACAGAGGAAGTTTCTAGATATGAAATATTGGTGTATAAGAAGCATACCGTATTTCAGACATATTTTCAAAGAAAAAAGTGCGTCTTGTATGCTGGCAAATATGGTACTTATTAAGTATTTAGTTTATGAATATAAAAAACTACTTTTATTTAAGTCTTGGTATTTGTCAACATTTTCTTTTCTTGTTTAATTTATAAAACACTTTAAAAAATAATCTGAATTTAAATAAATGTATATGTTGTTTTCAAATTTTTGAGAGGAAGAGGGGATGGTCATCTAGCAATGGTGAAAGGGATGCATGGAGCAAAAAATGGTTGAGAACCCCTGCACTAGTAGATCCCATATCGTACAGGTTAATTTGTAACAAAAAAATTTTACATTATTGCTGAGAGTATCATTAACATCATTATGATAGGTTTGGTTCCTGAAAATTAATCATTACTTGCAATTCAATTCAGATACATAATCATTCATTATTTTTATTACTCATTACAGAGGATAGTTACTATTTAATTCTGCTATTCTGCAGCTGTAGTACACGTAGGCTTAAATATAAAGATAACATAAAGAAATGTAAACATGTTTGATGAAAAACCAGTGGCTGCATTTTTGTGTGCAGTTTTCTAATTTTAGGTTCAGTTGTTGATAAATGCAACAAATGCATTGTTCTGTATCGATGCAGATTCTGGACATTGTTTTGGTGCCTGTGTAGGTGGATAATCATGTTTTACAGATACGTGTAATTGAGAATAACAAGAAACCTGATTTTGCTTTCTCAGACAAGATCTTGAATTCGTCTTGTATGCAACCAAAATAGCAGTAGACTATTTTGGTTGTAGGATAGTAGTAAGTTTTGAGATGTGATTTTTAGCTCTGCGAGATGTCAAATTTATAAGACCTTGCATACCATTGAGTTTATGGTGAATAATTTTTTGTTCATGCTGAACACATTTCTATACTCATTAAGCGTTATTCAAATACCTTCTCTTGAACTATCAGAAAATAAAATTCAAATGACTCTTTCAAAGCTTTGAGGTACATCTAAATATTTTTATATATTTATCTTAAATCTTGATGTTATTTTTCATTTGAGAAGATTTTTGTAATAGGGATGCAATTATCATTTTCCTATAAGCATTTTTCTTCAAAGAAGATGCTTTGACATTTGCATAAAATTAGTGGCATTTTTCCCCCAGAAATGTATTTAAGTTACTAATTACACAATAAAACCTCAGAAAAAACTATGCATGGAAAACTCATAAGAAATTGATGAGGAGTTAGTTTATTGCAGTGAACATTCACAGTGAACCAACTCCAGTTTGACTAGCCATATGTATTTATATGGGTCTAAGTTTCAAGGAGATTCCAGAAATTATCAAAGGCTTGAGACTGAACTAGAAGCTTCTTGAATGTGCAGTTCCAAGAAATGTCCTGTCATCGTCTGTTAGAGGAGACAGGAAATTTGGTTTAACGAATTTCTCTGGTTCAGAATGGAATTTTTAAATTTCTTATTTTGACTCTATGAGTTGTTTCATATTCTTTAATTTCATTCAGTTTTTATTTATTTTATTTTCCGGAATGGTGAGGAGGTCCCAGGAAGTTCACCCAGAGCTTATATTGGGAACCACTGATCTAACAGAATTGTCTATCAAATTAATCTTAGTTATTTCTGATATAGATTTAAAATTATATTAATAATAATAATTAGTAATAATGATAGCAATAATCTAGTAAATTTTAATTATTAATATTTCGTAGCAAAATTATGTTAGTAATAATTAATAGTAATTAGTATATTGATGTTTTTGTTTTATTATCCTCTCATTTTTAGGAGGATATGTTTGAAGTTACAAGGGATTGGTCTGATGAAGATGTTACATCTTTACTCAATCAGATTCCTTTAGCTAGGCTATATGAACATATACTGCTCTCTTCTGATGGTATATTTGAATTTTTTCTTAGTTTCATTTATTGTGCACATTTTTATTTATTTTTTGTATGAATTCTCTTCTATCATGATGTAGTTTATGGATAAGAAATCTTTTTTCATTAGATACATACATATTGGTGTTGGATGTATCTTCCTCGTTAATTCAAATTTTTATAATATTTGCCGAAGTAGAACATTTACATATAACTTAGGCCATAGGCTCTTCACCCCCCCTGCTGTAGTTGATGATTAATTTATAATACTTTTGCTCCTTCTTTCTTATTTATTTAAACATAGATAAGAGTCTCGCCGTTAAAGTGCCCTCTGAGGAGATGATGTTGAAATTATTTGCCTTCTCCACTGCCCTAGTAAATGTCCTTTTTGGAGGATTAGAAAATTTCTTCAGTGAAAATTTTGAGACTTCCATTAAACATGTCTGCAACATGATAAGGTAATTATGCCATTTCTTTTCTCTGCACTGCTGATTGTGTAGAATTGTACATATATATTCAAATATGTATTTATATTTTAATAAATCAAATAAGTATTTACAAGGCATTAGATGCAAAATTGATTTTAATATATTTTCCATTGTGCTCTGCTCTTACAAAAGAAATTCCTGTGTTCTTACTCTGCAGGTGTGTAGCTCCATAGAAAGGGTTTGTTGCCTTGGAAATATACATATTTTTAAAGATATCAGTTTCAATTTTTATAGTCCTTGAAGCAGAATCACTTTTAGCTGGTGTATTAGTTTTTCAGCTATTGTCCTTAATGTGAAAATAATGATCTTTCAAAGGAATTTTTAATATGGAGAAAAGGGGAATATAAGTCTTAGATCTGGAAAATATGAGTCTACAGAGTTGCCAAAATGCTATTTTCAGTAAAAAATACAGTAACTTAGAAACAATTGGCATCCTCATAGTGCAGCAATCTAGGCTGCATGTGAGCAATTTGGAATCTCTAGGACCTCCATGTAATAAATGTAATTGATTTACAGTTTGTTCTTGAAGCAAGAATTCATTGTAGAGTATCCTCTCACTTTTGAAAAAAGCATATTAGTATTGATTTGAATCTGGATTTATTCATTTTTGCCTTTCTTACTTCCTTGTACAGATTAAAGGAAGTATTGTAAATGCGAAAAATTTCAGGTATCAAATTTCAACGAAAACATCTATTTTGACTGCTCTCAAATCCATTTAAATGATATCTGTATCAGAGTTGCCAACTCTCCCGATTTAGGCGGAAGACTCCTGATTTTCAACCACTCTCCCGCCAACCCGATTTACAATATATTTCTCTCGACTTTTTCTTATTCTTAAAATTTCTCACGATTTTTATGGAACTTGGCTAATACTTCGTTATATGAACAAGAAAAAAAAAAAAAAAAAAAAAGTGATTTTAGACGTGTGAAAGCAATTGAATTTTATCTAGATTATATCTATTAACAAAACCTTGCGAATCAGATGAGAATTTCTGCTTTGTGAGTGAGAGCATATACGTACGTATCCAGAAACGTCGTTCTCCAGTTCTCCAATGGGCATCGAGCTCCACTGCGTGTCATCTGGCATATATCAGCCAATGAGCACAAAGCAAGCTCAAAGCTGTTAGCTGTATGTTCTTTAGTTATTTCGTTCATCTTGTCCTGAGCTGTGTGAGTACACGTGCCTTCGGGAAATAGTTTTAGAAATTATCATCTTTTGTTATGTCTGTGAGAAAGGTGAAATATTCGTGTACGTTTCAAAAATCGTACACAGTTGACTTTCCTTCCATTATTTCCCCAAGGAAATGTAATAAATTTGCGATGTGTACCGCCTGTCATTGCGATTTGTTGATTTCGCATGGTGGAAGGGCGGATGTTCTCAAACATGTGCGTACACGAAAACACAAAGACAACATGAGTTGTTTTGAAAAAAACGAAAAATTAAATTTTTCTTTGGAAACAAAGGACCGAAAAGTTATTATTGCAGAATGTCTGTTATCTGCCTTTTACTGCCACTGAATGCATCGGATCACGCTGCAGCTTTATTTAGAAAAATGTTTCCCGATAGTGAAATCGCTAAGAAATACTCAAGAGCGAGGACCAAAACAGGTGCATTGTTAAAGAAATGGAATTGAAAAATAAATCTTCAGTTACTGATTGCATTAAAACAGCTCCGTTCTGCCTCTCTACAGATGGAAGCAATAATACCAATTCAAAACTAATTATTTCTTTTTTTAATCCAGAGTCTTCAGAAAGTGAGTGCAGTTTACTTTCTGTCCCCACTTTAGAAGGAGATTTGACAGGCTTTACTATAGCACAGCTAATTATTAAAACTTTAAAAGAAAATGCAGTCCCTCTGGATAATTTGCTTAGCATTTGGTGCCGATAATGCACCAGTAATAATAAGCTTGAAAACTGTTGTTGCAGGCATTTTAAGAAAGGAAAATTCAGATTTGCAGATTATGAGGTGCACCTGTCACCTCTTAAATTTAGCAGCTGAAAAAGGGGCAGCTTCTTCACCAATAAATGTGGATAAACACATTGTTAATATTTATTATTATCTTGAAAGGAGTTCTAAAAGGAAGGAAAAATTAAAACAGTTCCAACAGCTGCATAACTAATATTAGTGATGACGCATTAGAAAAACTTTTATTAGCGAAAGCATGCCCACCGGGCAATTGCTATGAACAAAATTATGAAGTTTCTTTCTTAACAAAAGCAAAATCTGCCACTGTTCATAACATTTGTACGAAAACTGATTAAAGTGTCCTTTTTTTTTTTTTTTGTCCTTAAACAATGCAAGTAATAAAAATGTTTTTTATGTGTAAGGTATTTTTGTGTTGCTTGCATTTAAGAATTAGTAACTATTTAAAGCTAATTCGTTATTAAAAACTCTATTTTTATCATTTAAAAAGTCTTTTTAACATTGTGAAAAATCTCCTGATTTTTGAGTGTCATAGGTTGGCAAGTATGCTGTATGTATGGACAAAATAAAACACTCTTTTTTTTTCCAAAATGGTTTCAGAAGAGATTTTTTTGTGACGTCTGTATGTATGTATTTATCTTATTTAACTAAAAAAAAATATCCTCAGAACATTGAAATTTTTTATTTGTATATTTTGTTTAAGTTTTGTATGAAATTTTGTATATTTGTTTTCCTTTTTTGGTTGCAATCGGCCACACCAAAAGTATATATATAGATATATGTATACCCACTCTGTTACATGCCTTGGTGAGCTCAGTTTTTTTCCCCTTATATATTGCCAAATTGTGCATTTTTTTATTTTAAAAGTGGTCGAATTACATTGTTGTTTTGTTCCAGTTAAGGTTTTTAAGCTTTTATTTAATCTGCATATAATAGCTGTAGAATTAAATTATCAGCAATTTAAAAATTGTTTTAAGTTCCACTAAGCCTAACAAAACCACCATTTCTTTATATTTGAAAACTCTTAGAAGAATAGTGAATTTAGTTTCTGCACCTGCCGACTTGGATCAAAAGTAAACTTTCAGTTTTGTGCACTGAAAAATTTGCCTTCTTTGCTGGACAAATTGCTTGTTTTTGTGTAGAAACTCTAATTTTAATTGTAAAAATTATTTTAATTGTTATAACTGTATTTGGTGTTTTATATTTTTCTGCATTTTATAATTTTTTAATGAAGATGCTTTGAGTTTTTATATATTTTTGCCTTGCCACGAAGTGAGAGCTGAATTAATTGAATGAGAAATATATCTATAATGAAATTTGAGAAAAAAAGTTTAAATGAATTGCATCAAAAATATGTATAATTTAATAGGTTGTTTTAGAAAGTCATGTGGTGTCCACATAAGATTTTTTTAAAACAAGGTGAGCTTCATATGTGTTGCTTGTAGCTTTGGAATTTTTGACTTGTATGTAAAAATCCAGAATTTGCCCTCATTTATTCCTTTTTTAAGGAAACTCATATCACTATGTATGCACTCCAGAAAATTCAGGCATTTTTTTTTTTTTTTAAATTTTCTCTGCTGATATGCGAGATTTTTTTAAACCAATCTAGTTTTATAACTTCCATATACTTCTTTCTGAGTTAAGATTTTATGCTTTGTACAGTGGTTCTAGTTAAAATCATTGCGAATCATAATTTTGTTATCATATGATGATCTAACTGCACAAGATTCTTCACTCATATTAGATTTTTGTCTTTTTTGAGTGTATAAGATGTTCCAAACTAGCTCTCATTAAAAGTTTCACAGTTTTCTGAAAATAAGCATGTGTTACTTTAGAAGTTATGAAATTAAAAAGTGTGCCGTCCCTACATCCATCTCTATGTTTTAGTTGCATTTTCTGAAAACTTCATATAAAACTGTTACATAATGTTGCTTGAAATTCCAATATTCCATTGCTGTGACACAATGCAATAAAACACATGAGAACTGAACAGGCAAAAACTTCAGCTGAAACTTATATTGAAAGTCCGAGGCATTACTTGACCTTCCACATGCAGAGGGAAAGTTGTAGGATTGCCAGCACCCGTGCAATGCAAGCAGTCTTATTATATTCCTTTCAGTTGCCAATTCTGCCAATTTTTCATCATATCTCCTATGCCAGTAGATCATTGAATCTCCCAATCTTTAATTTTAAGGAAAAAAATTTCCATGCAAAGAATGAAATTTTGCTTATTTTGTTTTCCCGCTCCTTGTGTTTTTTAGCATAATTTTTCTTATTAAATTTTATGTTTGATCTAATTTATCTTAATCTACTGTAGACATTTTTGCAACTCTCCTTGAAGATTTAAGTAATGTTTAATCTGTTAGTGTTTTATTTTACATCAGTATGATATAATGCTAAGTTTATCCATACAGCAGTGTAATATATTTTACGAATCATATTATATGTATTTACCATATATACCCACATATAAGTCGAAAATTTATACTCAGATCCTAAAGAAAAATTTTTGGTGGCAGCTTTACTGATCTCTGATGCACCAACAAACTTGATTATTAACTATATCATTTATACAGAGAAAATACAAAACTGTTTGTTTATTCTTTCTATTTTTTATTACTTTCGTTTTTTAAATTTCGTTTCATCATTTGGCTTCACAGACTAATTCAATGTGTATGATCGATATCTGCGAGATGTTCTTTAGTTAATACAACCATATCGAATCAGTAACTGTAACCATCTTGATTGTCATTGATTACATCTTATTTATCTTGACCATACACATGCTTTTTTTTACTTTTTCATTTTTTGTGATTTCTGATTTATTGGAATCTCCAAAAAATGCCTCTTTTCAGAGCCAAGCATTCCCTGCAAATGAGGTGTATAAAGCAAAAGAGAGAATATAATATCTTACACTGTAGAATTCAAGCTGAAAGTGGCTTCATTTGCAGAAAGTACCAACAACTCTGTTGTATCACATAAGTTTGGTGTGAATGAGTTGATCCGTAATTGGAGGGAAAACATGTCCATTTAAAAGAAAACAGCAAAATCTAAAAAGGGCCTGCATCATGGATCTATGCCTTTCCCAGAACTGAAAAAAGTGTTAAGTGACTGCATTCTAGACAACAGAAGGCAAGGTTATGTAGGAACTCAAACTGCGATATGTTACGAGCCACGAAAGTCGTGAAAGAAGGAAAATTTGCTCCTGTAAGTAACTTTTCGTGCTTCACAACATCAGTGAACGAGATTTGTTAATTATTATGGACAGAGTTTATGCCATCGTACCAAAATTTCACAGAAATTATTAAGTCAGCTCTAAGAGAAATTAGTATAAACTTAATTATTAGAATTAATTATTAGAAATTAGAAAAGTGCGTGATTGGAAAAAGAAAAATAACTAATTTTGAAATGTCCCAAATAGGAAACAAAAATGAAAGCTCGATGACCTTTTGATCTCATTGAAAATTTTGCTTTTCATAATATGGGTGAAAAACAATTCATGTGAAAAAAACTGGGCATGAGAAAAGTCATTTCACCAGGAGAAACTCATTTCTTAACCTGTTTAGCAAATGGCATGACTCCCATGTCTGTTTTCAAGTGAAAAATATTACCGAAAAAGACTGCATATCTGTCAGGTGTTCTTGCCCAGAAACATGGTTGGATGGACAACACCCTAATGATTGACTGGTTTCAAAATGTATGGTGCAAAAAGAAGCCACGCGCATTTTTAGGAAAACCTTCCCTTTTGAGTTTAGATATGTTTTGACCACATCGTTTCTGAAGTGCTAAAAAAGCATGCAAAAAGTTAAGAAACAACACTTTCTGTGATTCCAAGAGGGCTGATATCCATTTTAAGCCACTAGTTGTCAGCATAAATAAGTGGTTCAAGATGAATATGTCTAAGTATTGGGCGGAATGGATACAATCTGATTTGCTTACTAAAATCAAAGGTGGCAGTATTAGAAAGCTGTACATAACTTTAATTGCACGGTGGGTAAAAGATGCTTGGGACATGATTCTAGCTGAAATGAGAATCAAATCATTCAAAAAGTTTTGCATTTTCAGTAACTTGGATGGCACAGAAGATGATGCAATTTATTCAAGTGAAGATAATGGCACTAACTGTGATGAACCTGAGTGATGAAATTTATGATGACTTGCCAGTGACTGAAAAAGAATTTCAGGATATATTTTGCGATTCTGACTCTGAATCAGAATTTGAAGGATTCGAATAAAATTCTGTGAAAATTTTGTATACATTTTAAAATTTTATTATGTGCTAAAGTGGAAATGTACAAAAATTCTCCGAATTAGTGAAATTTTATCAAAAACATTGGCATGCTATTTTATTGGTGGCATTGGCGGCAGCACTTATGTGACAAGTTTTGTTTTTCCAGAACTTTTTCTCATAAGTGGGGGAGGCGGTTGACTTATAGACGGGTATATATGGTAAATATAGAAATGCATTATAGAAAGTTAATTTAAGTCAAATTTGAGATGCAAAAATTTCCCAGACACTTCCAGTTTTTCGTATTTCAAATCTGACAATTGTGATGTATATTTACTTAAATTTTATGAAAAGAATTTTAGATTAATTAATTATTGCTATTGTTATCATTACATTATTGAAAAACGTTTTTCGAAAAACTGTTTTTGTAGTTTTACTTTTGAATTCATTCTGAAAAATTGTTCTGTATTTTAAAAAATTCAAAGGTTTTGAAACTTAAAAAATTAGCTTTTAATAGTTTGTATAAATATTGCAATATAAATTGATTTTTTTTTCAGGCACATTGTATTTTATGTATCTGATTACTGGTCTGAAGGCAATTTAGTTAAACCAGAGTTACAAGCAGAATATGACCGTTTTATTTTTCATGTCATATTTAATTTATTCAAATTTCAAAAGTGAGTAGTATTTTATTTTAGAAAGTTTTTTTGCAATCACCTATTTATAATAGAAAGTGCATATAATTGTCATTAGTTACTCATATTTTTCACCCCCCATTTTTATTAATTTTATAAGAGAAAAATTATGTGAATAATTTCATTTCTAAAGGAAGCGGTGACGGAAAGAACATAAAAAATGAGCATTATTGATGGATTAAAGAACAGATAATTATATTATTACTTCCTTGTATGAAGTAAAGGAAGTGTCGTAATCTCAAAAACTTTCAGGTATCATATTTCAATGAAAATATCCATTTTGATCACTCTCAAATCCTATGTAACGATGTTTTTGCATGACATCTGTACATATGAACAGAATAAAGGTCTCTTTTTCTGAAAACAGATTTTAAAATGGATTCAGAAGAGATTTTTTTCGCAATGTATGTTCAGCTTTTTTCATTTCGTTGGTCCTCAAATTCCCTGTTGTTCTATGACCTTTTATTTTCTTCATCTTTGTTAAAAATCTAATTATCCATGCTGTAATTCATACAAGTTTAAGATAAGAAGAATAATGTTGGTACTACTTTTCTTCGCATTGGTGCAGAAACTATCATTACAAATAGTTTTCTTCTTTTGTGAATTAACTACCTCCATATTTGGAAAGTATTCCAATTTTGGCCACGCCTCTTCTGGTTTTATGAGTCAAGAAGGCCCTTTCCACCAATGTCCTTTGATGATAGTCTTGACAGAGCATTCTCTCGATGGGAGATCAGCAGGATTCAGTACACCTGGTACATATTTCCGTCTTTCCTTAGACAATAATCTTCTTATTTCTTCCACTCTGTTAGCAACGAACATCACCCATAGAACGTCCCTTATCGAGTAAAGAACATCCATAGAGTCTGACCAAAGAGGATGATGATACATTTTCTATGTGCAAACATTTCTTTATTAATGCAGCAAACTTTGTGCCAGTCATGCTGTAGACTGTAGAGACATTAGGTATTTTTGAAGCAGGAGTGAAAAAGTGGTTCGAGTCCTCTTCGCTGGGAACTACGGGCCTCTTGAATACGTGCCAAGCGTGCTGACCACTACACTGCGAAGGCATTCTAAGAAGGCAGGAGCAATACCTTATATACTCTCCCTTTTAAATAGCTAATGGAAATTAGGGAACCCATTCGCCAAATCCTAGGGGTGGATAATCATCATCTACCACTCTTTTAATTCAGGTGCCACTGTAGAGACATTAGGTATTTTTGAAGGAGGAGAGATGAAAAATGAGATGCCTTCACTGGGAGTCAAACGACGGGTCTCTTGAATATGCACCAAGCGTATGGACCACTGCACTACGAAGCGATGCTAAGAAGACGGGAGAAATACCTTATAGTGCAAGCTAATAACTCTAACCTTAGAATTGATATTCCCTTTAATGGTGCTGTTTTCAGTCTCACTTGAATCAATGGGCATGCTATTTCTGCATCCATTTCTGTTTGCAGAAAGACATACTTAGCATAGGACAGCTTGGAAACATCACAAAAATTTTGTAACGAATGGTTGGCATTCTTGAGGTCAAGGTTCAAGTGTCTTCAGGGAATTTTGACGTTTTTTAGTCTACAAGCTGTTTTTTCTGACTTTCAAATATATTTTCTATATCTAAAGGCAACCTAGAATGCCATGAAGATTCTACTTCCAATATTCCTGTAATAATAATTTGAGAATTACAGTGATAGAACAAGTGACTCGGATTGGATTGAAAATTCGATATGCCAGCGACAGTATTCTTTTTGTAATAACTTCTCCTTTTGACACTTTCTTTCTATGTGACAGATGGGGAATCTTCTTAATTTCATGTAAGCCCCAATACCTGTAGTTCAGATAGATCTTGCTTTTTGATGGTCAGTTTTTCTTTCAAAACTTTGTCTGCACACTTTTCTGTGACACCACCCCATAGATCAACCTTTTCCATAGCTAAAAGTTCTTTGAAATCTCGTTGGAATGTCTCAAGTTCTTCAACTGAGTCCATGCTCGTAACAGAATTATTTAGCTCTGCCACTAATAAAAATGTGCTGCATGAAATGCTGAAAGCAACACCCACTACAAGAAGCGTAGAAAATTCTTACTATTTTCATGTAGAACAATTTTCAAAAGGCTCTTCGAATATCCGATATAACTCCTATTTTTCTTAATTGAAAACGATTCAGAGCTGCATGTATCACTTCAGTGAGATTGGAGCCCATTTCTAGACCATCATTGAGAGAACTAAATCTTCTCTGTCAAGCAGACTCATCAAAAACTGGGCAAATTTTAGTAGAGTTTTTTTTAATCACTGGTCGGTGGGATAAGCTGTAAAATTTCCCAGTTTTACTAGATTCATTCAAGTTGACTTTTCAATAATGCCCTCATTTTCCCATTCATCGAACACCTGTTCATAATAAGTTAGCTTCTCATAGTTTTCAAAGATCTTGCAGTACTTGTCAATCTTTTTCAGCCAAGTCAAAACTATCTCCAAGTTTTGCAGTCAATCTTTTTTCAGCCAAGTCAAAACTATCTCCAAGTTTTGCATGGCCTTGTATCTATGGAATGCAAGGGATGTATCTGCCTTCTTCATTTCCAGATATCGTGTTTTCAAAATACTTAAAAGCAAGATCCTGTAATTCTAATTTCGTTCGCTTTTCACTGGGATCTTTTAAACCTAATCAATCCAGTTCCCATAAATATGTTATTTATTCTGTTTTCTGTTATTTGTAAGCAAAGAGTGTACCAACATTGAATTTTTTGAGTCGTATTCGTATTTAGAATTTTGAAAAAGGGTCAGTCGTAAATGCGTTTTTACTGCAGCGAGTCCATCAGAAAGTTGTTTTACATTACCAGTCAATAATTTTCCCACAATGTCAGAGCCCAATAAAACATGAATTTCATTTGCATCTTTTTTTTTGAAAAAATGAAGCTTGTTATTTAAATAAGAATCCATTACAAATATATCCATTCTTTTCAATTCTTGTAAAATATTATAATTATTAGTTCTAGGTATGCCCAAACAAATATTCTCCTGATCACTGTATTCCATAACAAATTAAAATTTTTCATCTCGACTACATATTTTAATCCTTATCTGTCATGAACTGAGGTCACGTTTTGGCCTCCAAAAAGTCCATGTGTTTCTTTTCCAATACTGTTCAAAGCTCAAGGTTTTTGCAATGTATTTTGAAATGTAACTTTTCTGTATTCCTGTGTTTAAAACTGCCCTCACCAGTAGCCTTGAATTTTCATTTTCAATGTAGACAGTAAAAGTCTGTCCCCCCTCAAAATACCCTCCTTTGCTTTGATTAGTTAGATTGGTAGACTGTGGTTCAATATTATTTATTCTCTCCCTTTTTTTGCTGCTCAAAACAAAAGCAACAAAAAATATGATTCAGTCCCAAACATTTAATTTTTTAACCCTTTCCGGCACGCTACCTTTTAAAGTTGGAGTTTTGATTAAAAAAGAAAAAGGTAGGCAGTCTAATTAGGCCTAGAGGAGTACACAAGTAAAATTTTGTGAAGATAGCCCTTATCATTTAATTTTGTGGGTGTGCCCAAAGTGAGCACACTGATTGAATAGAGCTTCAAATAGAGTGCTGAAACGAGCATTGTTGTCAATGAACTGACCGATGAGATGCGGAGAAACAAAGAATGCAGATTCTCAGTTGTCTTAGATTATCGGTGAGCCTGGTATGGGCAAACCCAGGGTTCACCGTTTGATTTTAGGTAAGATTTCAAGGTAAAAATTTAAAACTGATATAGAATAAGGAGATTAGCATACAGCCAAAAAAATAACATAGAAATTTCTTTTCAAACAATGCCTTTTATACCCTAAAAAAAGTCTGGAAGATTTCTTTGAAAAAATGAAGGTCTTAAAAAACTAAACATGGCTAAAATATATGGACTGGTTTGTGTTGAGCTGCCATCTACTATCAATAAAGAAGGTTCAGAGTAACCTATAAATCCTTTTTCATTCAATTTTTTTGTGCGTGCAGAAGGAAATTTTTAGATGTGTCCAAACCAGACACACTGGGCCGAAAGGGTTAATGGAACAGTTCCGCAATAAATGCTTTGCTTTTTGTTAATAGTTAAAGCATGCTTCCTATTATAATAAGATATTTTTCTTCTCTTCCAAAGAAAGAGTCATCACTACATTGCACCTGTCTGAGTCATACAATCGTAAAATAAACAATTTGTTTTCTTTTTGTCTATATTACTCCTGACTGACGTCGTCAACAAATCTTCATTTTTTCCCAATGCAAATGTCCTGCGTTATGGATTTATGGATAATTTTTATTTTCATTCTCCCAGGTATTGCAAAAGGTTCACAATCATTTTTGTACTTGTATAGAATGCCATTTTTGTCTGTTGTAGTTTTACTGTGACTTTTCCTTGAGAATGTGTATCCGTTAGAACAACATTTCTACTTACCATGTCCATGTGTTACAGTTGTTGACTCCGTTTATGAATGATTTTGTAATTAATTTTTTTCAGAAGTAAGGCCTATCTTGCTACTTTGGGAATGAGGTATTTTTTAATAGGAGGTAAAATTCAAAATTTCCCGGATTGAGTCTATAACATAAAAAATATTATGAATTAAATTTCAGAAACACATCCTCTTTCGAAATAAGACCCTTGTGCAACAGCACACTTTTGCCAGTGCCTGTAAAGTTCATCGAAGCATGTCTGGAATTCATTTTTGGCCATGTCCTTTAATTTAGCCTGTGATGCACTTCACTTGAAGATTGAAATCGACAACCCTTCAAGCATCTTGCCATTTTAAGAAATGGTAAGAAATTGTGCGAGATCAGGTGAGTTAGGAGGATGAGGCAAAACAGTTGTTTTTGTTTTTGCAAGAAAGTCTTTGATGAGTAGAGGTTGGTGAGCAGGAGTGTTGTCATGCAACAGCATCCATGACTGCTCAGCCCACATTTTTGGTCTCTTCTTCCAGATTGACTTTAACGATGCAGGATTTTGATGTTAGACCTACGACCTTT